ATAAGTTTAAGTTTTTTTGTAGTATTTTTAGTTTGAAGGGAATAGAGAAGGGGGGAAGGGGGAGGAGGAGATAAAATTTATTTATTTAGTTATCAAAAGAATTGAAGGATAGTAGAAAATTTTCCTCTCCTTTGTTTATTTTTAATTTATTTATTTATCTAAATAAAAGTAAAGGAATAGAAAGGAATGAAATAATACAATTTCCCTCCCTTACCTTCCCCTTTTCTTCGTTACTTTTAATCCAAACATATGATTAAAATTAAGAAAATGAATTCTATTTTATATTTTAGATTATATTAGACTATAAAATATGAACAATTAAATAGAGAGAAGGCTCCAATATTAGAAAATCTAATCTCCATTTCATAGTTAGTGTTACGAAATTCATTATAATTTAAACTACGTAACATTTTTTTCTTAAGAAAAATTAGGGATAATCAAAAGGTACAAATTCTAAAGATTTTTAGGAATTTCTTACAATTGATTAAGCATTAAGTAAGGGAAAAAAAGAAGCTAAAGAATGATTACTTGCCCTACCCTTCTTGGAAATTAAGATTAGATTAATTAGTGTATTTCTCTCCGTTAGGAACTACCTTCTTAAAATCTTCTATGGAAAGATGAAGGCCCCAATAGAGTAGGTTAGCATTACAATTGAAGAAAGTGGAATTATGTGCTCTTATTCTATAGGATGGTAATTTCCTCCGATTTCTGTGGAGTCTCATGGGGATTTCTATTACTAGAGCAGGGTGAGGAGAAATATTTTTTTTTGTGGGGTAGAGATGAAGAGTATTTTTTTCTCGTGATTTTATGCAGGGAATTTTTCCCACCCCACAATACCTTGCAGGGATCCCCATTTTGACAAAAAATTAAGATATAAATATAAATTAATTTTATTTTAAGTTTAATCAAATCCAATACATGACAATACATTTTAAATCCAACTTAATAAAAATTGAATGAATTAAGGCCATTTCAAGAAGTTTTTCTTTGATTCCCTTCTCTGTTACCTTTGCTGTGGTTTGTGTTAAACAAATTGAATGAATTGCAGGAGGAAGGGTGGAGATGATGAATTACGGGAAGCGTAAAAATTAATTTTTAATGAAACGGTGTCCTTGCAATTTAAAACTCTAATTTTTATTAAGAGTTTGAGATTGACATGCTTTTT